GAGTAAAAGGAAAAATTTACATAGGTTTGCTCTGTTTCACCTGCGAGCTACATGTTATTCACGAATTAAGAGTCCAAGGACAGGAAACCCACTAGAAATACAGCAACCAGAGAGATCACTGTTCGTGGGTTTGAAGGAGGAGATGTGAGGAATTAATTTCAGACCTGGTGTAAATGATCCAGCTTAAGAAGTGGTTTTGCATTTTGCTGTAACTTAAGTACTGGCACTGCTTGTAGTTTACTTTCAAGTTTGATTTGTCCATTTACCTCCCACTGTAGTTATCTGTGTCCAAACACTTTATCATATGCATCCAGGCTTCAAGAGTATTATCAAACCATGGTTTTCAGCATGCTGATGTGATGGGAATCTGAAATGCAAAATTTGCAGTGTTATTGAACCCACCTCTTCCTCACCTGACCCCCAGGACTGATTTGGAAATGAGACAATAATTGGAAAATTAAATTCATGAAATGTACCCATGCAGCTTCCCAATTTCTGCTCATGTGATTGAAATGTGACGGTTATTAGAAAAAGGGTGTTTTCATCACACACAGTCTGGTACCAGCTCTGTATGCTCTACCCAGGATTTGGAAGTTGGGTTGGGGTCTTTTTGCCTTGACATTGTCACAAGCGAGAGATTCAGCAATATGAGCATAAAAGATGGGCGAAGAGTGATTGAATAAGTTATTTAAACTAAAAACTTCTGGCTTTTCCAGGCTCCATCCCAGGAGCCAGTGCAGAATTGACCCATCAGGACATAGTAGATTTATGTATGAGAAAAGCAGAATTAATCTTGTTCCCTTTTCTTCTTCCCCTATATCCCATGGCTGTGCTGGGTTCACCAGGTTAGCAACCTAGTACATGTTTGGGTGGAGAAGAGGAGCAGACACGACTAAGGGACACATGGGAGCAAATACAGGGAGGAAGAAGTTGCTGGTTTTAGACAGCCACTTTTCTGACTGAGTGCATGTTAAGCACAGATCAAGACAGCTATCCTGCGTAGGGTTCAGAGGAGGTTAGGTAAGATCCTGTCACAGATCCAAAGCTGAAAACCTTCTGCCTTGACTCTTCCAAGGAAAAGGAAAGCTTTCTGCTCTGGAGGCAATTTGTAAAGGTGAATGCAGTGTTCCAGACTTATCCTCTTGGTAGTACTCTTGCTTACTCACATGCTACCATCACTGAACTGAAGTCATAAGGCATTTTCCACCAGCTGAAGGTTGAGTGTTTTCTGAAGTAGTTCATGTGTTATTCAGAACAACAGTGAAAGCAAAAGTTTGAAACACGTTCTCCATGTGTTAAATCTTGATGGACAAGAAGGAAGGTGGGGAATCTGCCCAACTCTCTTTCTGTGTCATGCAGCAACATAGTAATCCCAAAACAAGGACTGCAAGATGTTTCATTTAGAACTGGAATTACTTCAGTGTTGTGTGCTCACATCCTTCCTGTAGATACAGCACGGCCTTGAATGACTTCCTATCATGCTGTCAAGTCTGGTTATTTTCCTGTCAGGTCTTACTGTGGCTCCTGCATAGATTCTTCTTTTGAATTGTCTTGCTGGCTTGTTTATAAGTTAATGGTACAAGGCAGGGAGGAAAAAAAAAAAGAGTGGCACTTACAGGAAGACAGTTTGCATACACCTTGTTGGCAGGGCTGACTGCAACACAGCCGAGACAGATTAGCACACCACTGCCTGCCTAAAACAAATAAACACCAGCTGTTTATCAGACAGGGCTCAGCTTTCTGCAGGAGGAGGTAAACAGATTTATGCAGATGAACCTCCCAGGTGCCCTTGCAGCACAGCATCTTTCATGGCTACTTGGCCTTCCTTATGAGTTACAACCAGGACAGATGAGCAAAGAGATGCAAGGTTAGCACAATAACACAGCCATTCGCACAGTGCCAGGGCGCTTTGTCATTGCGTTATGTTTATATTTAATAGTAATGTAGAATTAATCATAGAGCTGATCTCACCATGAATGGAAGAATTAGATGTAAACTTCAGTATTTTATGCCTATAGCATGTGAAAAAGCAATTTATTATTATAACTCACTTATTATTCTATTTGTGCCTAAAATGTTATGAAGCAAAATTTATGGCTGTTTAAGGTTGAGAGAAATTGTGATCAGCAAAAGTATTTTTCTGACTCTACATTAAGATTGTCCAGTTGCTGTCAAAATACTTAACTTCATGAACCTTTTTTTTTAATAACCATCCAAGTTTACTTCAAATCCAGCAGTGCTATGTGAGTCCACTACTTCAAAAGGATTGTTCCTCCTTCAGTTCAACTCTGCCTGTCACAATATCTCCTTAAATTCTTCGTATAAATTTTCCTTGAAGCTTCTCAGGTGACCCTAACAACTTGCTGTAAAATCTGGTCTTGAAGACAGATGGGATATTATTTTAATAATGTAGACATAATTACACAGTCTGGATGCCAACTCTCAGAAATGTCTGATGATTTATTAAGATGTTGTTGGGAGGAAGAATTGGGAGCTGAAAATTTTGGGCAAGACACTGCGGAGTTCAGAAAGAGAGGTTTGTTTCAGTTCTCATGATGTTACCACTTACTCATCAGAAGTGTAAATAATCTCAAATAATATAACTGGTTATTGTGAGACACTTTTTAACTTTATCTCACGTCAAACGGCACCATCAGATTGCAGTTGCTACATCTCTGTTGGGATTCTGAGTTTTTTAAAGTGTCCTTGGGCTCCTCTTAATACAAGATCATTTCCCCACAGCCTTCTTGACTGCTGCTATTCAGGGGACCAAGAATGCAAATACATGGTTTGTAAATACAGCAAATCCTAGGTACTGTGGTGATGAGTGCTATAGAAATGCTTGCCAAGAGAAAGAGGGAAAAAAACCCTTTTCCTCTACTCTATTAAGTAAATTGGTACCATTTGAGCTTTTCTTAGATTAGGACTTTCCTCACCCAAGTGTATCACTTAACATTTCAACACATAATATTTCAGATTTCTCAAGGTACTCCTTAAACACTCAACTAAACCAGGTGGAGAAGGCAAGTCCGCATGTGATTTGTTCTCCCTGGCTGTCACTGCAGATTTAAAACCAAAGTCATTTTGGCTGTGCCTTAGTGTTACTAATATTATTAATATTGGTAACTAACAGTTTTCAATCTATTGAACAATTAACGAAAAGGTCAATGGGAATTCTCTACAGAGGCATTGTTCATTACAAGGGCTGTTGCTTATGCAATCTCACAGCATCCATCTTCCCAAACAAGCAAAAGGGCCAGAGATGGCAGCTCCTTAAACCCACCTGTGAGCTCCGAATTAAAAAGCTTAATTGTATGAAAGCCGTTAGGATGTTAGTCTTCCGATTCACTGGCTTTTTGATGCATTAAGTGGTGCATATGTTGTTGTGGAGCATATGTTCCCTTCGGTCAATGCAGGTGACTACTTGGGCACCTTGGTGACAGGAGCTGGTGACAGATTGTGATTGCCATTAGTAAAGCTTCCCTGCAGCCAGTTTGAAACCAGGTGTTAGTTACCTCCACCTCCAGTGCCCCAAGGGAAATGCATCTGAGCTTAGGGGTGCATACTCATACACTTCCTGTGGCACATGGAAGAGATGGAAAGACTCTAAAGCAGTCCAGTTTGTGAGCAGACAGGTGCAGGGCCAAGTTAGGAATGCCCCAGGGTAGGAGTAGGAAGAAGGCATTCTCCCATCTAATGTCTCTGTTTGAGGAGACCCCTAATGCATCAGCTTTTGCTCACCAGGCACTGGAGAGGAGTGTGTAGCTCTCACTGCCCCACTGTGACCATCAGGCTGAAGCTAGGGCTGGTCTGTGCTACCACAGATCTCAAGGGAGGCAGTAAGGTCCAGTGAAGGGCAGTTTAGAGAGATGACATTTTGGGTACTGTGCATCCAGACAGTGCTATGGTGGTTATTCATCTCTAGCTGCTTCTACAGCTCATTCCAGGCATTTAAAAAAAAGCCTCTTCATATTGCCAGAGGAGCTGTATGGGTGCTGTGATGGCTGAAAGGTGCCTAGAGCTTTGGCAGCAATTAGCTGTGCCCCAGTGTCATCCCCAAAAGAGAGTATGGAGACCCCCAAGCTCTCCCAGCAACCAGTGACATTTAGTTGTGACCCAGCATTTGTGGAGATCCTGCTAGTCACTTATTTATCCTTGTAGGTGCCTAGAACCTGGTTAGATCTAGCCTTTATGAATGACCCTGGTAGCTGATCAGACCAATCTCCATAGGCCTCTACACCTTTGTTAAATGAATAGCTATTGCTCTTTTGTTCTTCTTGAAACCTCAGTTGCTATTCTCTGTCAGTCCTCACTGTCCTAAATGCCAGTGGAAAGGATCATTGAAACTAATGGGTTGAGTTTGTCCATTGTGCTGGTGATTTTATCCTGGGAAGACCTTGTTTCTGAGGGAACAGTTGCGCAGGAGATGGCTGCAGTGTCAGGGTCTTGTTGAGAGGCAGTGCTCGCTATGTCCAACCAGCTCCTGCTCATGCCCTAAGCTGCATGGGGATCAGTAGTCCTCCTTCCTTTGGGAATGCTTTGGCTTGCCAAGGTTCAGCCTCAAAAATCTGTCTGAGTTTGGGTTTAAACTGATCCCGACTGAAATGCAAAACTCAGCGGGACCTTCTAATCTCGTCTGGCCTGGCATAGGAAATATGCAACCTTTGCTATGCCTCACAGGAGGTGAATTAGGAGGTCTTTGTAACAGATTTTGCCCTAAAGGTTCCTCTCTCTGAGGACGAGCTTGGCGTGAGCTTGTAATGAAAACGTGATAAACTTCAAGTACTTTCCTTGCAGATGTTTTGCATGAGACTAGCTCTATCCCAGAGATGGCTGCGTTCCGTGCGTGGGTAAAAAAAATCCCTGTAGCTATTTTTGCAAAACAATTTCAGACCCTTTGAGCTTGCTAGAAAATTGAATAAGTTGTTTTCCAATCCCTGAATTAACCCTGATTCATTCTTCCCTCAACCCTTTCCCTCTTCCTCCCCTCATTCCAACAGATGTCCAGCATATTAAGAGGAGAGACATCGTTTTGAAGAGGGAGCTGGGAGAAGGTGCTTTTGGAAAGGTGTTCTTGGCCGAGTGTTACAACCTCAGCCCCACCAATGACAAAATGCTGGTGGCAGTGAAGGTAAATCCCGAGGGTGAATGGCAGAGAGTACGGCAGGGGCTGGATGAGTCTCTGTGGGAAAGGGAAGCAGGGGAGGAGGGCTGGGGGCCAGGGGCGGAGATTTATCTGATGCTGAAGATTGTGGTAAATCCACTTAGTCACACAAAGTTTCAGTGTTTCGCTTCAAGGTCATCTATTCTCACCAATGCCAAAGCCTCTCTTTTTTTTCTGCTGATGCAGCCAGGAGACAGACGGGGAGGAGAAGCTGGTCTGGAAGCTGTAAGCTCCAATGCAGCTGCAGCAGTTCAATGTGGACTCCACCTTCCCTCCATGGGCCAGTGGGGCCCTTCTTTTTCTGGATTTTATCTCTTTGTACAGAAGCTGAAACAAACAAACAAAAAAAAGCCTCGGCAAGAATGAGCACTTAAAAGCTAAGCATGACAAACCAATTTGCTGGGATCAATTTGCTGCAAGATGGGCGAAACAGCCCAGCTCGGCTCCACTCAGCTCCTGCTTGCCTAGCCACAGATTACTCCAGTTTTGGTGATTCTGAGCAAAAAACTTGAAGAAGCAAGTTCAGCTTGGCTTGTGCTGTGCCATTTGCGTCCTTGTGAGGGTTCTTATGTGAGCTGTGCCCCATCAGTGTGGCTCTGAGCAGAGGAGACCGCTCAGTGCAGAAGTGTGCTCTCCTCTCAAGTGGCATCAGTTGGCAGAGACACATAGTCTAATCCCTGGGAGTTAATTGATGCCTCCTAACTTCTTGGAAGAAGACCTACATTTGAACTGATGCTATACAGGAAGAAACATTCCAGCACTCTCTCCAAGATGCTGGAGGCATCCAGTTACTTGAGATTTGTTTTAATCATTGGCAGTTCAAGCCTTCTTTTAAGCTCATTTATCCCCTTATGCTCCAGCCATGAACTGCAAGATCACACCTTTCACCTCGAAGACTGGTTAAAGCCGAAGTAGCACAGCTACCCATATGATTAATTACCTGATTATATGGCTGGTACCTGCTTATCAGTGTCAGCCATCCCTTATCCGATCCTGTCTCTCAAGTCTCTACTGAGTTTCATTTGCATGTAGGCAGAAACAACTTCAAAATTTGTTGCTGTTAATTGCTACTATGAGCTTACATCTCCAGAGTGCCTTTCATCCTGCAAGATCATACAGATCCAGCTTTGGAGCAGGGCCTTGAAATCTGGCTTCTTGCCAGCTCGGGATGGGGAGAGGCAGGGAAAAATCCTTCTAATTTGGGCTACATTCAAACTCTTGGGGAGCAAAAAAAAAAAAAAAAAAAAAGAAAGAAAAAAAGGCTTTACATATTAAGTTGAGATTTGGCTGCATTTTCTGAAGATCTTATGCGTCTGACTGAGCCTGAGAACTATCTCCCCTCTCACTGCAGCTCAGGGCAGTGTCAGGACGCACTGGTTAGGGCAGATGAGTCCACAGCCCAGTATCTGCCTCTGCTGGGACTCTATACCAAGGCCAAAGAAAGTGACTGTGTTACTCCATTAAATGGACTCAGATTTTCAGTGAAGCTAAAGGTTGCAGCCCTGCAGATAAGCTGAATTTTGATGTGATGGTATAGACAAGCTTCCTATTTTATTCTGCTTGCTTCTAAAAACATCCTAAGAAATGCACAAAAACTGTGTTCAGCAAAAGAATGTTGAGGTTACAAAGTCAAGTAGTAGAAATGCTGGAGGGGCTGGTATTCAGGGCTTGCTCTCTGAACACAGATTTTTCATTTCTCTGTGGACTGCTCCATTGTGATGATCACTCCTGTGTCTGAGAGCTCCCTACATGTGAGTGCACTTGTTTTCACAGCCTTCCAGCAAGGTGCTGGGGTTGTATCATCCCCATTTTGCAAAGGGTAGATGGAGAAACAGGGAAACTGAGCTGAAAGGATCTACTTAGCTGGAGGATGGAGTTACTGACCTGCCTTTCCAGTCCTGCAGACAACCCAGCCATAATGCCACATGGGATGGTGTTTCCCAGGTAATATTGGAACAACTGACACTTCGTGACAATGGCTACAACCTGCAGATGCTGAGTGACTTGCCAGATATCACGTAGGAATCATGTGATGGAGGCGCAAATACAGTCTGCCTCAAACCTTCCTTGGAGAGATATTTCAGTGGTTTTGATGAGACATCCTTTCTCTTCCTCCATTCATGGTTGTCTTTCCCTGTTCCACCACTTCCAGCTCCTGTTTCCCTTATTTCTAAATGGTTGGCTATGCAACCTTAGTAATGTGTTGTTTGTTTTTTTTAATAATGGTTTTTTTTGTATGTGTGATATTTACAAAGTTACAGTCCTAACACCTTGTAGAAACGATTGTGTGTGAAAGAGAGAAAAGCCAAACTCACTGCAGCTTGAAATATTACATGCAACTACAGGAAAAGAGGGAGAAAAGAGAGATGGGGAGGGGACTGTTTTCCACAAGAAAAATAAGGTAGCATCAACATTATGAAGTTATTAAATGACTAAAAGTAATTGGGTGCCTGAGATAAGGATGGATGCTTTGCCATCTGCACAGTGTAACGAACATCCATCTAAATATCTCTAGTCAAGCTATCCCAGAGGACATAGTATTAAAATAAAATTGTGCCATGTGACTAGCAGTTTGGGGGCAGAAGAAGAAGATGAGGCAATGTTCTAAGGCTTGGGTAAAAACCTTGCAGGAGATCTGCTCCAAGGGGAAAAGCAGCTACTCTGGAGGAGTCCATCCTTTGCTGTGTATGGCATTGCAGCCAGCAGTGCCACAGACCAACCGGAGGGGCATTAGGAGTGTGCTCGGGCCCTTCCTCTGTGCACAGCTTTCTGATGCTTCACATCCCTTTTTGCTCATAAATTGGAGCCTGCACCTCCTGGTGCCACTTCTCCTGTCAGCCTGAGGAGATTTGAGCCATGGGGAAAAGAGGACAGGTGGATTTGTGTGTAAGTGATGGGAGAGCTACCTAATGTACCCCGCCGCAAAGAGGGTCCTGGTGCACATCAGATTGAAACTGGGGGTAACTGGAACAAGTTGGCTTGAAGCCTGTTTGACTCGTGTTAGGCTGCATGATTAGACCCAGAACTGGTACTGAACAGTCCTGGCATGTGGAGGAAGAGGGGAATATAGCTGAGACCCAGCAACTCAAAACCAGAATTGCCTCTTCATTTCCTTAAATGTTTGCAAAGACCATGCTGATTCTTGTGACCATCACATCTTGTCAAACGTTATGGACTTCAACTTTTTTACTAAGTGCCCACCCTTGATACCCTGTGATGACAACACACTGCTTTCAAACTAGCTCTCTGATGCAACTGCACAATAATGCATGGACAAGCCAGACTCCATCCCTGGAAAACTCTCCCCAATCACCAGCTGCACCCACAGTAATGTCTTCACAGCAACCCCATGACGTCAGGCTGGTCCACACAGCCTGGAGCCTGTGAGCTACCCTGCGATGGCAATGTGGAAGATGAGATATTCTCAATAAGGATACTGATTTCAACATCCATCTGCCAGGGGAGCTGTTATAAACAGCAGGGATTAAAAACATGATTTTTAAAATTATGAGAAAAGACTTGACAGTGTCCTTCTTCAGAGGAGGTTTGAAAAATCCACGCAATAACTGCACAGCCAGGCAAATCTGTCTTCTGAATAAAGGCAGTGTAGTCAGCTATTTCAAAATAAAAGACAGATAGCAAGGACTGGCTGCCTCAGGAATTTAATAATAATGAGATATGAAACCATTTGCCCCTAGGTCACCAGTACAAATCCTGCCCAAGCTGGGAATAATTGGAAGCTATTACCCTCTGAGGTGTGTTTGCTGCTGCCTGGGAAATGAGTTGGGGAACCTGCTGGGCTGGTAACTACATGAACAAAATGCTGAGGTGGTGTCACCGGCACCTACCACCAGCCCTCCCAGTGCAACTGTGCTGGTGGCAGTGTTTTCTTTTGCGTATCTTCCTCATCAGCTCCTCTGCAATGCTGTGACCTGTTTATTCTGGCTTCACCCCCACCTGAGCCCACCCTGTGTGTATCTCTGCCCCTTCTTTCAGGCGCTGAAAGACCCCACCTTGGCAGCTCGCAAGGATTTCCAGAGGGAGGCAGAGCTGCTCACCAACCTGCAGCATGAGCACATCGTCAAGTTTTACGGCGTGTGTGGTGATGGTGACCCACTCATCATGGTCTTTGAGTACATGAAGCATGGCGACCTGAACAAATTCCTGAGGTACATGTGAAGGAAAGCATGGGAGATGTTGTACAGCCTCTCTGCAGACTCAGTGTGCCTTGTTATAGATATGTGGTGCACCAGTGACACCACTACCATGTGGATGCTGGTGGGCTGGGTAATGGGAGTCAATTTTTCCAAGGACAGCTTGTAGGAGATGATGGTCCTCATCAGATTTGATGCTTTATTAACACTACCCCAGCATTTCCTCTTAGGTAGTCTTAGGGATGGTCCCTGTGAGCTATGGAAACTAGGCTTTTCCTCTCCGTCCCCAGCACATTTGAAGCTGCAGGAAACACGGGTGCAATCTCTATCTGCCCTGTGGGCATAGAAGGATGTGAAGCCATGGCTGTCAGCAGCTCCAAATCCCATCCACCCAGAAAAACCATGCCCTGCTGAAGCAGGACGGCCACTAGCTATCACTCCCTATGTCACCCAGTTCCTGGTTCAATAGCACCAGAACCAAAATATTCCTTTGAGAGACTTGCTGCAGTCCTTGGTCTGATTGGCATCCTGGTCATTTACTGATCTCTAGTTCTCATTTCTATATTCAGAAAAGACCTGAAAAATGTTGGAGGGGCCTCAGGCAGTGCCTGTGGAGTCCACCTCTGGTCCTTGTTCCCTAAGCCTCATCAGACAGAGATGCTGACTGAGATACAAAATACCCTAACCTGTGGCACCACACTACTCACAGAGCGAGGCAAGGCCTGACAAAGTGCCATAATTGCCTTCCCCGCCTCTAGAGAGATGCAAATTGCTGGAGTTTTCCCCCGAATCATCACTGAACCATTTCATCAGCGTGAGGCAGATCATTTGTGTGCCCTGAATCTGCCAGCAGTGAGGGACAGGGAGCAACAGTGGGAGGATGTTTGTGGTGCTGTTCTCCCACGATACAGAAATTATGCTCTGAAACCTGCGTGCAAGTGGAGTGGTACTTACCTCTTGAAATAATTAGTAGTTTTATTTCCCAGTATTTAGAAAATTGGACCCTTGATATTTTCATGTTTTGACTGCTAAGTGTGAACATGATTGCAGCAGGAACAAGAAGCTTGAGCACAGCAGGTCTAGATCTGGGGTTGGGATACACTCAGTGATTGTTTTTCCACTATCACAGTCAGTTTCTGACCAGAAAACACAGGTCCTTCCTTGAGGTTTTAATTTCTAAGAAATCATCTACACTAGGAGAGCTATGGGGAAGGCCCTAGAAGGTTTATTCTTTCATCTACCAAGCAGTGCCAACCTGTCTGCAGCAACCTTGGGGCACTTGCAAGACAGTGGCTGAGCTAGGGACATCCCTTCATTGGTTTCCGTCCTCATTTTGGCATAATTGTGGGTAGATTGAATACGATTTTATAGCTTAGTCCCTGTCTCAGGCTCTGGATAGATGATATCCTTGACAAAGTAGGACAAGTGAAGGCTGATGCTACATCAGCTTTGCAGAACTCCTCAGACCCATGTTCAAAGGGGAGCAGACTTTGTTACCCTGGGACCCTCTCTTGTGGTACCCTGTCTTGCAGGGTCTCAGCAACCTTCCAGCAGCACCAGATCAAACTCTGCCTACAGCCTGAATCAGTGGTTTGGCGCAGGTTGGAGATGCAGTGTTAAGGACAGTGCCTCAGCCTTGTGACTGGAGGAAGGCAATCTAAAATAGAGCATAAGAGACCACATTCTTGAAGTGTTTCACAAGGAAGAGCAGAAAATTGACCCATCTTTTTTTCTGGCAGAGCCAGTAACCTTATTGTCCTTAGAGGAAGCAGACATTACAGCTGAGGCATGGTCTCCCTCTCCGCTCTAATTGACCTCCCAAGCAGTATAGTCCAAAACAGGCTCTTGCATTGTCTCAGAGGTGTCTCTCAAGCCCACTGCCAATGCCTTGTGGAATTGCTTTGCACAATGGTGTGTTCCTAAGGCTGGTATCACGCTGAACCCACACACCCCCCACATCCCAGCCCTACCCTCGGACATGTCTGAGAAACTCTCATGCCCTGGGAGGCCAGGGCCTGTCCTGATGGCACTGGAGAAGAAAACTCATTGTTGTATTGCCTTTGGCCTTTATGAAGAAAATAAACTTTCCAGATATGTGGTCCCCAGGACTGCAGCCTCACATATGCAGCTGCATTTAGCTGCCAGCTTTTCCTTCTCATGTGGCTGTGGGGCCAGCAGCTACGAGCTCCCTTCTCCGCATGTTGGTGTGTGATAGGCAGTGAAATCCCTCTGCATCCCAAAGGAAGCTGCCTTTTGGGACAAAGGAGCTTATAC